TCGATTCTTTAGGTAAATCAACCGATATTATTTGACTATCATAATATTGTTCAATAGTTTTTCGATATTCATCTTTAATAGGCATTTTATGATCGACAATCAACATATTACCGTATTCTAATTTATTAATAGAATCGGATTGTTTTATTTGTTCTTGTAATTGTTTAACGGAATTGGCTACAACTTGATGTTCACCATTATTCAATTGTGATACTTTGTCATATTTCAATACACGATTAAATTGTTCAGCGGTTGATCCTTGTGCACCTTGATGTACCATTGATAATGCAACGGCAATACTGTATGGTGAGAAAAAAACATTTTCCAAACCGGATGATGATGAAGATGGTGATGATTGATGTTTAACAATTTCATTCAATAAATGAAAACCAAAATCATTTGAAGCTCTGGCAAATCCTTCAGCTGATGACGGTTTTTGACTATAATTATCTGATTGTGATTTATCAACACTGGTTATTGAGACTTCATCATCAGCTGCATAAGTGACAGCCATCACTATCATCAAAAAAAATGATGAAATAAAAACTTTCATTTTATTTGATTTTTGTTGTTGTTGTTGTTGTTGTTGTCTAATTCTTTGATGAAACCAAAATGATCGATTTTCATAGTTTTTTATACATTAATATAACTTGTTATCATATCACCGTAACACTTTTGTCACCGGTTTATCATTATTATTTCATTGCCAAAATGAATGCATTGCCATGGTCATACGATTGATCATTGAGATCGATCAATCAATCAATTTGTCTCTCTATTTTTTCGAATAATGATGACAAAGCATAATTTCGGTAATCATCTTTACATATTTACAGTTTTTTTTAATTATCTGTTGTTGTTAAATTATTCAAAATTAAAAAAAAAAATAAAATGAAGCATAAATTCAATTCGAATCATCAACAGGAAAACCAAAAAAATAAAAAAAAAAAATAAAAAATAAACAGGCTCACTATGCGATATAATATCAAGGCTGTAAGCATTTTATTGATAATTTTCCAATCAATTAAAGAAGAAGAAACAAAAATCGCAATCATCCATTTTAATCATTACATCTATGGAAGATTTTCCGGGTTTATCATTTTGTTTTTCGGTAGAGGTAAAAACAACAATTATTTATTTAGGGAACGGGATTTTGGTGTATAACATTGATGGTGATTTTTTATTATTATTTAGAAATTATGAATTTCACCAAGGAACAAAATCTGACCGGTTGTTTGATGACGAATAAAATACAAAAATGGATGATCAAAACGGAAAATTTTTCGAGATACTGAACCCGATCTTGTAACAAACCCAATATAGGTACCGGCAGCTGCTTCTGTTCCTTGTTCATCAACAATTAATTTGGCTTTATGAAGAACATCATCTATTTTCAATGATTTATTATCGCTGATACCAGAAAAATTAGCCGATCCAGTGAAAGCATCTTGTATGCCCATTGATTTTAAGATTTCGGGCAATCGATATGATGTATCAAGTTTGATTTTTGGAAAAAACAGACCAGAATTACTATAAGTTCGATTAATAATTTCATCAATAAAAGATGAATTTAATGATTGACGAATTTTGCTTAGATCACAATCACGTTCACGTGGTAATAAACCGTAGAAGACAACATCGCTACCTTTGTATGGCATTTTAATTAGATCGGAATTCAATTCCGGAATTTCAACATATTCAAATGGATCTCGTCCATTCATATATTTAACATTTTTATATTCATTACCACGATGATCATAGAATATACCTTCTTTAGTACGTATTTCATTGAATGGTTTCAACCATTCACCTTTAAAATAAACAGCATTTATCAATGCAAGAACAGTATCAGGTGATGGTGGCTGTTCAAGCATAGGATTAATTAAACCATGTGTTTTATTCGATACATATTGATTGATTCGTTCCATAATATTTCTCGATTCTTTAGGTAAATCAACCGATATTATTTGACTATCATAATATTGTTCAATAGTTTTTCGATATTCATCTTTAATAGGCAGTTTTTTATTATCTACAACCAACATATTACCATATTCCAATATAATATGTTTTGCTTTGTTCATTCGTTCTCGCAATCGTTTCACAGAATTGGCTACGGCTTGATATTCACCATTATTCAATTGTGATATTTTATCATAATTCAATGCACGTTTAAATTGTTCTGCAGTATATCCTTGTGTACCTTGATATACCATCGATAATGCAACGGCAACACTGTATGGTGAGAAGAAAACATTTTCCGAACCAGATGAATGATGTTGAATTTGTTGCAATAAATGAAAACCAAAATCATTCGAAGCTTTGGCAAATCCTCTAGCTGATCCCAGTATTACAATATGACTAATAAGACTAACATTACGAGCTTCATAAGTGACAGCCATCACCATCATCAAAACAAATGATGTAATAAAAATTTTCATTTTCTTTGATTTTGTTTTTGGTTGTTGGATAATTCTCGGATAAAAATACTTTTAATAATAGTAATAATCAAACTATTAAAGGTTAAAATTTAGCTAGAACCAAGCTTAGCTTTATATAATTTATTCTTAATTGTTAAAATTCTGTTGAATTATAATTCAATTTATAACATTTTCCTCTCGAAACGGCTAAGGTTCCGTGAATCGAACTAGAAATTATTCGAACTGTTTTAATGTTCAAAAACAACAATTATTCATTTTAATTTATGGATGGATGATCAAAACGGATAGTTCTTGGTATTCCTGTATACATTCTAGACATAAATGATGAATAGGTACTGGCAGAAGCTTCTGTTCCTTTTTCATTAATAATTAATTTTGCTTTATGAATGACTTCATCGATTTTCATTGATTTATTATTGCTGATACCAGAAAAATTAGCCGATCCAGTGAAAGCATCTTGTATGCCCATTGTATTTAAAATTCCGGGCAATTGATATGATGTACTAAGTTCAATTTTTGGGAAATAGACAACTGAATTACCTTTATTTCGACCAATAATTTCATCAATGAAAGATGAATTTAATGATTGACGGATTTTACTTAGATCACAATTACGTTCACGTGGTAATACACTGTAGAAGGCAACATCTCTAGTTCTGTATCGCATTATAATCAGATCGGAATTCAATTCCGGAATTTCAACATATCCATGTTCACCTTTTCCGTGCATATATTCAACATTTTTATATTCATGGCCTTGATGATCATAGAATACACCTTTTTCGGTTTTAGATGGATCAAACATTTTCAACCATTCACCTTTAAAATAAACGGCATTTATCAATGCAAGAACAGTATTGGGCGATGGTGGCCGTTCAAGCATAGGATTAATCAAACCATATGTTTTGTTCGATATATATTCATTGATTTGTTCCATTATATTTTTCGATTCTTTGGAAAAATCAACCGACATTACTTCACTCTCATAATATTGTTCAATAGTTTTTCGATATTCATCTTTAATAGACATTTTATGATCAACAACCATCATATTACCAAATTCTAATTTAACGTTGTATGAATTTTTAATTTGTTCTTGTAATTGTTTAACAGAATTGGCTACAGCTTGATGTTCACCATTATTCAATTGTGATACTTGATCATAATTCAATACACGTTTAAATTGTTCGGCAGTTGATCCTTGTGAACCTTGATGTACCATCGATAATGCAACAGCAACACTGTATGGTGAGAAAAGAACATTTTTCGAACCGGATGATGATGATGATTGATGTTGAACAATTTGTTTCAATAAACCGAAACCAAAATCATTCGAAGCTTTGGCAAATCCTTCAGCTGATGCCGGTTTTCGACTATGACTGCCAACATGAGCTGCATAAGTGACAGCCATCACCATCATCAAAACAAATGATGTAATAAAAATTTTCATTTTCTTTGATTTTTTT